GAGGCCACAACAGTGAGAGGTCCGCGTACAGCAAAAAAAAAAAAAAAAATTTTGGGAGGTGTTCCAATCCCTGCTCAATGAATAGTCTGTTTTCCTTAACTCCTTTGGCAAGAGAGAAGGATTCCAATTACCTAGGGACTGCAGCAGTATATGACAGTTTCTTCTTCTTAGTCCTGGAAGTCGAGGTTTATTCACTTATTTACTTAAATATCTGCGAAGGATCCACAACACAGCAGGCACTGTCTTAGGCACTGGGTACAGAGCAGTCTCTCCTCTTATGGAACTTACATTCCAGCTGGGAGAGACACACAGCAAATATACAACATGTCAGAGGGTTTGAGAAATGCTGAGAAAAATAAAGCAGGGTAATAATTCAAAAAGTGAAGGCAGGGAGACACAGAGAAGAGTAGTGGTGTACATTAGATAGGGCGGTCAGGGACAAGTCTCGCAGACAAGGCATTGAATCAGAGACTGAAGGAGTGAGCGAGAGAGAGAGCCATGCAAGCATCTGAAAAGTATTCTAGGCAGTGAAACCAGCAAGTGCAGAACCCATGGTGTGAGAGTTATGTTTAACATGTATAACAAACCACAGGATATCAACGTGGCTAGTAAGGGGCAGAGCAGAGTGGCAGATGATGAGAGAGATGCCTGAACTACATCATACACAGGCTAAGGACTTTGGATGTTATGCTGAGATAGGTAGCCACTGGCTCATCTTGAGCAGATAACTGACATGATTTGAGGTACATTATAAAAGAATAGGTCTGGCTGTTACAAAGTTCTAGGTAGTACAAAGGAGCAATCACTGGCAGTAGTAAGTCAGGGGTCGTCTGCGACCCCTTTAACCTAAGAAGCTAGTGCCAAGAACGATGGTAAAGAGTAGGAGCATGGACACATCATGGTTGAAAGCCTCAAAATATATTTCCTTCCTTTCAATAGCAAACGTCTCTGAGAGAGAGAGTTATCAGCTGCTACTTTTATTTATTCTACTTTAACCACCTACTCTTCTTTCATTTACTATCTCATCTCTAACTCCCCAACAGATGCACACACCTACCACACAAGAAAATTCAAGTATACCATCCGTCTTCCTCTTTCGGTCTTTTGCTCCTTGCTCCATATGAGAACTAACTCATTCTTGGAATTTCAAATATCCCCCTTCCTTTCGTCCCTTGCTACTTGCAAGCTTCGTTTTGCTGCTGTAAGAAGCAGTTTCATCTGTTTTAATTAATTACAGTGACGATAAAAATGTCTAATAAAAGAACGTGGAAGCTTTAACACGCAACAGGGACCCTTCCCTGAACACCACTTTCCCAAGCCTTCTCAAGGAGCCAAAGTCGCCCCTTCGCAGTCCTGAGGAGACGAAATTCAGGCGGCTAGCGGCAAACGCATTCGCATCCCCTGCTTCCCGCAAACTCATGCCGGCCTTTCCTCTGAGCAGCCAAACTCAGCCCTAGTACGTTACCTTCACTATCGACAGCATCTTTGTCCTTATCTTCCAGCTCCGATGCTGCAGCCGGGGATACCATTTTCATCTTCCCCTTCTTCTTTAGTGAATTTTTCAGCTTTTTCCCCGCACTCACACGTGACTCTCGAACGGCCGCGGCCATGATTCCTAGCCGGAAGCGTTCCGTGAGCATTGCGTCCGGCTGTAACACAAAGGACTTCGGCTTCTAGTTCCGGTGATACAAGGTTCCGGGGCGGTGCCATTTAGCCGGGAGTTCTCGGGCTGGAGGCTCACAGTATGGATTGGAAAGAGGACTGATTGGTTGTCTTTACGTGCTATCTGCTCCAGTAAAAAACAGTAATAATAATAAAAATCAGTGAATATACGTTCTCGGCCGACTCCTCTGCCAGCTCGCCCTTGTCCTGGTCCGCCGCCCCACTCTGACCCCAACCCGACCCGGTCCACTTTCATTTCCTCCCCACGGCTGTTTCTGTATCTGCTGCCTTATTTCATGTTGGTTTATGGTGTTGGACTAACGTCCCGAACGTGCCTTCTAAACGCACTAGAAGGGAGGAAGCGAGGACAATCGCGTGAGGGGTCGAAATCTCGCTCTGACTAACCCCTGAGTGGCTTCCAATTGCAAACCGAATAGAATCTCGCTTTCTTCCCTTGGGTCGCAGGTGTGAAGGGTTCCAGCCCCCACCCCTCCCTCCCACCTAGCTCCGCCCCGCCCGCTCAAGGCGCCCGACCGCGCGGTGGAGACCAAGAGAACAGCAGCTTTGCACTCCGCGGGCTGCTCCTGCCTCCCTCCCGGGGCCAGCTTCTCCCTGAGGTCAGTCTTTGACACCAGCTTTTCCAGCCCCGCTTTCCCTCGAAGCTGCTCCCACAAGCTGCCCCTATGTCCTTTCCCTAACTTGTCGGCTCCTGGATAATAAGGACCACATATCATTCACTACCCTATCCCCGAGGCCCCCAACGGAGCCTGGCCCGTGGTAGGAACCCAAACATATTTTTGGAAGAAATGAATGAATGAATGACAGAATACAACCATTCACAAAGTTAATGAGTCAAACGGATAATGTAGCAAACTCTTACATCGTGTTCCATCGGCCAGGCGTATTCTAAAGCCTTTCCCTAAGCTTAGCATTTTCCTGGAACAGCATTTCTTGTTTTTCTTTAAAACCCAAAATTTCTAAAGGGGGAGGGTGCTGTTATCTCTCTGCTCCTTTTATCTGCTATTACTATCTTCTTTAGAGTTCTCTTCACGTCTTACTAGCCAATCCCTTGTTATCCCAATCCTCTGTTAAAGTTAACAATTCTGTATATTAAACTTTCCGAATCAAATTACTAAGTGGTTTCCATCTCCTGATTGGCCTTAACTGATACAAAGATCAGTGTTGTGATGGAAATATTATCAGTACCCAAATACTGTCCCTACCAACCTGCAGCACCGTTAAACCGTTCCGTTAAGGTTTAGTCATTTTTAGAAGAGTGGGGGTATTCAGAGTAGAGTTCCTTGTTAAAATGCAAATATTTATAGGGCGATAACAGTTAAAACAATTTCTTCTGGATGATTTGTTGCAGCTTGGCTGATGTGAGTGCATTGAAGAGCTTTGAACTACTGGACATGGAGCAGATGAGAAGGAGAGGTAATTGCACAGTGTATCCAGAGCAGGGGGTGCTGGGTCTGCAAGGTCTGCATGCTCTGGAAAGATATTCTGGGTTAAGTAATAATTCTTGGGTTCTCTACAGAGAAAGGAATCTATAAAAGGAGAGTGTAAAGAGAAAGAAGATGTCTCAGGATCATAGGGAATATCATCAGGGTTGCTATGTGGGAAGGCATAAGAAAGAGGGATGAGAATAGAGAGTTACGAGAAGAGCAATGCTAGGTCTCTAAACACTAGTGGGACACATTCCCCAAAAGAAGTGATTGTCATCAAATGTGGACTCACAGGAAAAGAAATCATAACTATTTAATTGATTTGTCACTTTAACAAGAGATGTAAAGGAAAACTTAAAAAAAGAAAAAAAAAAAAAAGAAATGATGTACTATATTCCTGAAAGACAGATCAAATTTTCTAAAGCTATTTATTTATTCCAACAAAAGTGCCATTGGAAAGTTTGGGGAGAAGAGAGGAAAAGAGCAAAGTCTTGATAAAATAATTCTAAGGTTCAAAATAAGTAAATGATAATAATATCTTTTAAAAAGAGGAGTCTTGAGACAAAGCTTGCCTGTTCAGATATTAGAATATACTATACATAAAGCTACAATAATTAAAATGTACAGATCAAAAGAAAAAATAAGTGATAAGGAAACAAATTCTAGAATATGTAAAACCTTAAAGTATTATGCAGGAACTATCACGAGGAAAAGAGAGAAGAGAAAAATTCTGCAAAACTTATTTTAGTAAAATTAACTGTTTAGTGAGAAAAGAAATTAGAGGCTCACATCTTACCCTAAAATTAATTCCAGAATTAAATATGAAATAAATATAAGGAAAAAAAAAGAAGTGAAAGTCTGATTTATTGAATTGTAGAAACAACTTTCCAAGTTTAAAATCAATGGAAGTAATTCTGAAAAAGAGAACAATAGATCTAATTATATAAAAACCAAAAACTGTGTATCTAAGAAAATGACCAAAATATAAAGGTAAATAGAATGTGAATAAGACAGAAAATCGATTTTGAGATGACTACATAAAGAATTCATATGACTTTCACATCTGGTCAAGGTGGAGTAACAGGGAGCAAATTTATCCTCCCACCTGAAACAAAAAATAGACAAAATAAACAGAGCAACATTTTTCAAGAACCAGACATTAGATAATGAAGGATAATGACCAATGAGAGATGGCAAACAAACTAGGTGATCCCATGATCTCCTCAGCATACTGCTTGGAGAAAGTTTCCAGACCTGGGCACAGAGAGAGGGGATCGAAGCTGAGCCTGGAAGACTTTTCAAGTTGGAAAGATACAGCTGAGAGTCAGGGAAGACCAAGGCAATGAGAGTTAGCAGGATAGAGGGCCAGAGAGAAGAGAGACAACTCAGGAGATCTGTGAAGAGGCTCCCTCGGAGATTTAGGTCAGTAGTGATCAACGCATAAATGTGAGAAACTACCCAAGAACCGCCCAAAAGAATTAGAGTCAACAGCTACTTATGCACACGTGGGACTGGGAATAGTGCCTATCCCCACCAGCCAGACTGGCAAAATCTCACAACTCACAGGGTATTGGTTAGAGTATCTATCAAAAACTTAAGGGTATGAGATTTTATCTTATTTGCAAGGTAACAAGAAGCCTGCCAAAATTTCATGAATGCTGGTAGAAGACACAAGACTTTTGGGTAAGAGTGGAAGGGCAGATTATTTATTATTCAGAGCAATAGCAGTAGCAAGAGTATCAGCAAATTTTTAGACAATTCTCTGAGCCCCACCACAGAGTGACTCAAAAAGAGCTAGATAACATTTGCACATGCAATGGGTTGACTTACAGGAGAGGGGCTTGAGCTATTTACAATAGCATCAGAAACCACAAAATACTTAGGGGTAAAAGATGTGAAAGACCTATATGCTGAAGACTACAAAGCATTGCTGAGCCAAAATTAAAGAAGATCCAAATAAATGGAGAGGTCTACCATGTTCATGGATCAGAAGATGCAACATTATTATCAGTTTTTCCCAAATTGATCTATAGATTCGACGAAATCCCAATCAGAATTCCAACAGACTTTTTTTGTAGAAATTGAAAATCCGATTCTAAAATTCATATGAAAATTCAAAAAACCTAGAATAGCAAAAAAACAAATGAAAAAGGACAAAGTTGAAGAGTTAGCACTACATAATTTAAGACATTATAAAGCCTACAGTTATTAAAACGGTATAGTATGGCCATCAAGTAGACAAATAGATCAACTGAACAAAATAGAAAGTCAGGAAATAAAAGCACACACATATATATATACTTATTTATATACTGATTCTATATATATATATATACTGATTTCTCTCTATATATACTGATTTTATATATATATATATATATATATATATACTGATATATATATAAAGAAGAAAGATCTAAAATCAATAATCTAAGTTTCTACTTTAGGAAACTAGGAGAAAAGCAAATTAAATCAAAGTAAGCAGAAGAAAAGGAATAATAAGCGTTAGAGCAGAAATCAATAAAATTGAAGGGAGGATCTCAATAGAGAAAATCGATGAAACCAAAAGCTGCTTCTTTGAAAAGATCAATAAAATGGATAAGCCTCTAGCCAGGCTAAGAATAAAAGAACTTCAAGAAGTTCAAAAATTACAAATATTAGAAACCAAAGAGAGGACATCACTACAGATCCTATGGGTGTAAAATGTATGATAAAGGAGTACTATGAACAACTCTATGCCCACAAATTTGATAACCTAGATTAAATGGACCAATACATTTTCCCCAGATTCACACAAGAAGAAATAGACAATCTGAATAGGCCTGTATCTCTTAAATAAATGGAATAAATAATTAATAACCACCCCAAACAGAAAACACCAGACCCAGCTGCATTCACTGTTAGGGACTGAATTGTGTCCCCAAAGTTCATAAGTTGAAACTCTAACTGCCAATGTGATTATATTTGGAGATAGAGTCTTCAAAGAGATAACTGAAGTTAAATCAGGGCCTATGGGTGGGCCTCAATCCAATAGGACTGGTGTCCTTAAAAGAAGAGGAAAAGATACCAACGATGCATATACACAGAAAAGGTGACCACTTATAAACCAAAGAGAGAAGCCTCAGGAGAAACCACCCCTGATGGCACCTTGAAGCCTCTAGAACTATGAGAACATAAGCATATGTTATTTAAGCCACCCAGTCTGTGGTGTTTTGCTACAGCAGCCCTAGAAAACTAATACTCCCGCCCTATACATGTCCTTCATTTTAGTAAGATAAATTGGATCATTGTTTAGGTCAGTTTATAATAAGTCAGGTTTTCTGTTCTTTACATCCAAAAAACATTGCACTGGATACACTACATGACCTTGGTCAAGTTACTTTACCTTCAAAAAGGTAAAGGTGTTTCCGTTTCCTCATATTCAAAATAAGGGAGCTGCACTAAATAAGCTCTAAAAATCTTTTCAGCTTACATTTCTATGCCATTATAGGATAAATTTCCAGGTAGACGTTTTCCCAAACCATCCCCGCTTCGTTCAAAATCTAAGATTCAAGACT